TGAAACCCATACTGTTATGGGACTTACCCACGTTAAACCGGTGGACTATTCCATGCGTAATAAATACTGCGCCTCAAGAGGAAGCAGGGAGTTCAGTCTGAAGTCTGGAGTGAGAGTCCGTCAGAGTCTGTCAGTCAGTCCGAGAGTCAGTCAGTCAGAGGCAGTCAGTCCGGAAACAGAGTCGCGTTCAGACAATTACTGCAAGACATTGGAATAGTGATACTGGTCGAGACTACATTGTTCTCTCTACTAAACCTGATTGTTCGTACTAACACTTTCTACTTCTCTGTATATATTCCTGTTTGTAATATATGTGTTATTCCATGTGTTTTATACTTTTGTTGGTCCGTACTGGGTATGACGATAAACAGTATCCGAGATCTGGGTAAGACGATAAACTACATCCGAGTCCTGGGTAAGACGATAAGCTACATCCGACAGCAAGTGCTTTGATCAGGAGTTATCGAGGATCATGGAACCATCTCTTATTTACTGGTGGTAGCACCTGTCGTCTGAGCTATGGGCAAATAGTTACCCTACACAAAACAGGGGTTAAAACAATATGAAAGTATAAATGTAGGTTTTAATACCAGCAACACTTTATTTTTTTGAAAAATTATTACCAATAATACACTTTTAAAAATGTAAAAAAGATTTTTACTAGCAATAGGGATTCCGGGCCAATCTATTCGATTTGCTCACTGGTAAGGCTTGCCAGTGTGTTCCTGCATTGTTACAATTTTCGTACGTCTCCTTAGAGTAATGTCCATCGCAGACAATGGCCGTAGGACAACTAATCGACAGTCGAGACAATAGTGTCTAGGCGTGATGAACTCACAATCCGAAAATAGATTCATATTGCTGCACACAAATAGCCTAATCAGAGGTAAAAATTGAAATCGATTACACCCTGTCACTGAAGTAGGTGAAAAACTGGCTGTATGGTGAAAGCGGTTGTTTCAATTAGTCTACCATTCGTTCCTGCTTTGAATATTGCTACCACAAATGGTCTGGAACTGCTGATGTCTAAAGTAAAGAAGAATCTTAACCAGTCCCCTGACCTGGCATCTCGGCTTTAGTCAATTTCCCACCGCCGTAACGTAGCTTCCCTGTGCCTTTTCTATAAATACTTTCATGCTAATTGTTCTGGCAATCTTTCCTCTATGATGCCTAGACTTTATAAATTTAAGCGCAAAACTAGATTGGCGACAAGTCTCAAAATTTTACAGTTAAAATTGCTAATTGTAACCGTATGTTCTATGCTAGCAGTTTCTTCTCTTACACTTCTTGCTTGTGGAACTCTCTTCCGGCTTCTTGCTTCACAGACAACGTAGATTTTCAAACATTTAAATGCAATGTAAATCGTTATCTTCTTTCATCTGTCAGAAATTCTTTATTATTCTCTCTCAATAATAGCTTTTTGACACCGGAATTCGGAACATACACACACACAGATATATATATATATATATATATATATATATATATATATATATATATATATAGGCGTGTGTTGTTAAAGACTTCAGACCTTTCCTGTTTAAAAATAATTTTTTCTGTCTTTCTTCCTTTCAAACAAGTTTTTTTTTTTATATTTGGTTCGAAGTTGTTGAAATAAGACCCTCCTCCATCGTGTTCTGCCGAGCACTTTCGGCTATCTTCTCCCGTCATGTATGCTTTGATTTGAAATAGGTTGCTTATTATTTTATTTTTATAGATAATATTTTGGGTATTTAGATAATGTAATGGGATTTATTCATTATTAATAAGAGGGGGTGTTTATCATTTGGAGGATTAGTTATAAAATATATTTAAGATGTTTCTGCCACTATTCAATGCTATTTTATTTATGTTGGGGTTTTGGTTTTTAATATATATATATATATATATATATATATATATATGCTATTTCTTTATTTAAATGCAATGTTAATCTCTACCTTCAGTCTACTTTCTTATTCCATCATTGTACTTTCTCCTATGTCTCTATTTTTCTTATATTATTTCACACTGGGTCAACGTTTGTGAGTTAGTGGCTTTATTGCCTTGATCGTGGCGGAATGATAAAAAAAATAACCAAGTGAGAATGGGTACATGTAGGATAGATTAAAGTTGACCCTTGAGATGAAATGTTTAAGTGTAGTGCCTTATCGGAATCCTGATTCACAATATAATACTTATGAGAATCACAACTACATTGTATCACTAACTGCATCTACTGCTAGGAAAGTTGGTTCACTGTGCCGCGCCAGAAGTTTTTTTTTTTTTTTTTTTCTCGTCGGAGTCCATCTTGCATATTTGAATAATGTTGACATATCTGGTGCTTCTGGCGTACATCTCGAGATTCTTGACAAAGGATCTGTAATGAAATCGATCCTGACTTCATCTACTTTCTTACCGACGTGCCGTGGCTTCCCTCTGTCTTTTCTACAAATATTGCTTTGACAATGTGTGTTTAAGCATGCTAGTAGATTGGCATCTAGGTCATACCCTTGTTGTATAAGGTAAATGGAACAGCTGCTCCAAGATTTTCTTATCTCTCACTACCCGCTATTGGAACTCCATTTTGATTTTTTGTTTTGTTGGTAACTACAATCTTCAAAAATGTAAATGCCACCTCAATCACCGTCTTCCATCTTCTTGAAACGCATTCATCTGTTGTCCTTTCCTAAATTCTTCCTATACCCCGTGTTTTCTCTTTCCTTCACCCTCTGTAACACCCTGCGTACTAGTGGCATTCCCGGTTTGCCTGGGGTGACTTGATTAAAAAAAAAAAAACTTACCGGTAAGGGTCCCCTGGGGAAAAATCATCAACCGAGAAAGAATTGGACAAAGATTTATTTATGAAAGATATGAACAAATAATTTACTGCTAAATAACATATAGTCCAAGAACAACTTTGGTAATCACAGTAAGAATTTCTATAGTAAAAAAAACAACAAAACGTCACAACATACAGTACCGCGGTACAAGACGTACCCCCGTTTTTGTTCAGTTATCTTCGTCCACTTTAACTTAAATGTGGCCTTTAGCAATTCAAAATAAAATATTCCAAGCCAGCTCATAAATCTTTAAAGTTTGTTACGAGGTAGTAGCTGCTATTCTTGTAACATATCCCGGATTATAATATCCTGGTTAGTCCAGAGTTAATGGCGGGGAAATAAAACAGCTATATATTGTTCGGATTGTTGGCCTTATCTTTATCGCCATATTCACCACGTTTCGACTATTGGGGGCTCCAGTCATCTTCAGGTACACATAATCCAGTGGATATAAGCCCTTGTTGGATCCAGTGACTTGACCCAAAGATTTGTGCTTTTGATACAGGGCTACTGCAGTGGTGAAAAAAAACCTTGAGCATTGAGTTAAATAACTGAGACATCAGGAAGAGGCATGGCATATGGAACTAGAACAATCTACCCCGGAGGATAAAATAAAGGTCTCAGTCCGAAATTCTAATTCCCTGAAGAAAGCCAGAACGTAGAACGGGTGAAGCGTCGTGAATACGTTAAGGAAGATGAGGACAGCAGTCTTGAACGATGTGAATAATGAAAATAATTCTAATACATACTCTCAGATATATAGACAGATCCGGAAGAAGGCGTGACCGTAAAACGGCCGAAACGTCGTGTATATAGCTAGGAAGTTGAGGACAACAGTTCGAAGAATGTAAATAGTTTAAATAATAACAATACCATCATTCCGAGATTTAGACAGATCCTGAAAAAGGCTGGAGTGTACAACGGCCGAAACGTCGTGAATATGGCAATAAAGATGTGCACAATAGTCCGAACAATGTAAATAATGTGAATAATTATAATAGATTCTCTCAGAAATATAGACAGATCCTGAAGAAGACCAGAGATTACAACGGTCGAAACATCGTGAATATGGCAACAAAGATAAGGACAACAGTCCGAACAATGTAAATAATGTAAATAATTACAATTCAACCTGTCAGAAATATATACATAGTTAAGTTCAAAGAAATCTGAAAAACATCCAAGTTAAAGTTAAGCAGGTAAGAAAATATTCCAGGCGAGCATATCCGTTCATAAAATTTCAACCTAAGATTAAGTTGTTACGAGGTAGTAGTTGTTATTCTTGTAACATATCCCAGATTATAATATCTTGCTTAGTAATGGGTTAATGCCGGGAAAATGAAATGGCAAACAAGTTCAGAGAAATCTGCAAAACATCCAAGTTAAACAGTTTGTTACGCAGATAAGAACATTTCACAAAATGACGCCCAGCGGTACCGAAGGAATTATTAATGTCAACGCGAAAAATATCCGTGGACTGCTAGGGTCATTAATCGGATTAACGCATCTATAGGCATTTGCAACTTTGAAAACCCACAAAGACAATTTCTCGAGAAAACCATTTTGCAGACAATTAAACCTCACGAGAATTCAATTTGCAACAAGCAAAAAGGAAAACGCTGTTAGAAGCAAAGAAAACATTACTCAACTGCTTTCTAATAGGAATTCTTCTATAAAACAGTGAAAGAGGAACAGTTTTCTTACAGATGAAAAGGAAACTTAAGGTGACAGATCTCAG